TCTCCCTTTCTCTTTTTCTTAATCTCACTGGAACTCTCTCTCTATTAATCTAGCTCATGTCTTCCACCTTTCTCTTTTCTCTCCCTCTGTTCGTCCTACTGTCTCTCTCTCTCTCTCTTTCTCTGTTCATATTTACATTAATGCAACAATGGTGGTTGGATTCATATTCTTATACCCAAAGAGGGGAAAATAGGTATACCTCAAAATCGAATCAAATTTCCTCCATAACCCTGATAACTACACATTAAATGACTTGATAGAGCTCTAAATCTGTCTGGGGGACCCTCTTTAATGGATTATGGTCTCTTAAGAAGGGAGCTCAACAACGTAACAGTTAGTCTGATGAAGCCATACAAAGAAAAGCAGTTTGTAACCTGGACACAATGGACACTAAGTTTACAGGTCTCATGTGAGCTTAATAACCGATTTGATACCACGTTCTGCTCTAATGCTGTCTACCAAGCAGATTTCAGTTTAATAGTGATTCGTATACATGCTGACAATCTAGACAACTTCCAGAGACTACTCTTGATCAGGATCTAATGCCCTTTGTTGAATAAATTGCATTCATTTTTCTCACAGTCCTTGTAATATTTAGTTCATTATCATGATAGGCTACATAGCAGTTATGCTTTCTAACATCCATTAAATTCATGATCTCCAACTGATGATAGTGCTATGAAATCTTCAATGGAAATGTATTGTACTTAACAATGACATGTAAATAATTATATAATTTGCAAATCCATTCTGCACTTCCAAATATTGGCAATGCACAATGTTCACAAATAATAGTATTACAACAGGATTAAGTTTTATCAGGTCCCCATGCATAAGGATGCACTGCTAATAAAGAAACTAGAGAAAATAAGAATGGGTGACAGAAGTAATGAGAAGAAGCACAGAAGTGAAGCAAAAATTAACATAAATGAAACTTCTATGCAGAGGTAAAGAAAGAAGAAAGAAAGAAAGGAGAGAGTCACACAAAAAGTAAGATATAGGATTGATTTAGAAAAACTGTGAGAATGCTAAGGAAATAAGGTGATAATGCAAAATTATAAGCAGAAAAAAATAGCAACACAGAAATCAAGAAGGAAATATGGAAAGAGAGAAATAGAGTGGGGGGGGGGGTGTAAGGAAAGAGAAGGGAAGGACAGTGTAAAGAGAGTGCTACACTTAAAAGTCAGAAACAGAACAGAACTTGAAAATGAAGTCTCAGAAATAGCCAGGACTTCACAAGCCAATTACTTTGGTAAAAAGTTATTGGATAACATCCAAGCATATATTAATAAGAGAAGAAACCACAACCCATGGTGAATGGGAGAGGAAGACGATTATTCCTCCACTTGGATACCCCATAGCAACACAAGATGATCTTGAGTAGATGACGACACTATAACGTGAGAGTGAAAGACAAAGAGAGGGAAAGATATGAAAAAAGAGGGACAGAAACGAACAAAGGGAGAGAGAGAGAGAGAGAGAGAGAGAGAGAGGGAGTGAGAGAGAGAGAGAGAGAGAGGGAGAGAGAGAGAGAGAGAGAGAGAAAGAGAGAGAGATAGATAGAGAGACAGAGAGAGAGAGAGAAGGAAAAAAATCCACACAGACAGAAGACAGGAGGATATGAGAGAAGACTGATATAAGGATAAACTAAGATGAAAATGGTTAAAGGTATAAAGAGGACATGAAGGAAAAAAGACCCTGAAGCAAACCATAATCTCATGAAGTTCTCAGGGCTTCAAAAGCAAATTAACAAGGCAATATATGGTAAATGCGATATCCAAGACAACTGATCGGGGATCAAACCACAATCCACAAAACCATGATGAGGTGAATAGGAGAGGCAGATAATTGCCCCCAACACTTGGAGACCCTATGGCAACCAATGATGATCTAAAGTAGATGACGACATTGTAAGGAGCGTGAGCTAATCCTATTGATGATGGATCATCAAGAACCAACTTCAAATGAACATGCCCCCAGGATGCAGATTAGGATTAAGATAATGGGTACTCTAATCCATCTGGCATTTGGGGAAACACTGGTGGAAAGTTTCCAAACAGTAGCAAAGCTATCATGCAGTGAAGAATGTGGGATTATTCAGTAATATGATTGTATAAAGAAGGAAGAAAGGTGCATACATGCTAAATGCTGCACAACCAATGTTTGTATTTGGCAAAGCACTATCTATTAAGAACCAACAGGGAATTAACTCTGTGCGAATGGATATGATATAATGCTCTTTTGTCTCTTAGCGTATGAGTCATGTAGTAGCTACTAAATTACATGTCAAAAATAAAGAATAACATACCACTTTTACTGCCTCAAAATCTAAATCTAAATTGTTATAACAATAGTAAGAACTCTCCCTGCATTTCCAATGAAATAACTCTAAAAAATCACTGATACCATAGAAACTAGAGGAGCAATATTAAAGGGACTTCACACTAAATTCACCATCAATACAAGCTTGCTTCCACAAACCATTTCAGTACGCATCAGATCTAAACAAATTTGAACAGTATGTTTACAGCTGTTGATGTCAAAATAAACAACAGTACATTGACCTGTCTTTAATACCAAGAGTCCTTTCTATTTGGCAAAACAAAGAAAGAAATTTCCACCATCTTACCCTAATATTTACAATACATGGAAACCGTAATCTGTGCACTCACTGGGTACAGAAATATATTGGTTCAGTGAGTTCTGCAAGAATGTGCTCAACCTTGTATTGACCACCATTAATTCACTTAAGAGCTTCACTGATTTCGATTGAGTGGCTGTCTGAGAAACTTATTCTATTAGTGAAGATTACCCAAGATTGTGGTTGGTATAATAAGGGATGAAGAGATAATTTCCTAAAATCCTCTTTTAATGATGCTAAGTTGCTAACACTGTGACCATCAGCATCACGCTGTATAAAAGAAATGTGTGCTGTTTGTTCATATATCTCTTGAAAATTCAAAGTACTAATCGGGATGCCTAAAGATTACTCTTATTTCCTTGAAATAGTTTGAAGGATGTAAGTGAAATAGAAAATCCTAGACATAAAATGACAACAACAATTTTTAAAAAAACTATTACGCCTTCAAATGATGCATGATGTCATGATATTTTGCTACATTGCAAGTTTTGTCATTTTCTTTTCCTCTTACATCTAAGAAATATTGTTGCTAAAATCAACAGGATCAAACTTGACATTTGAGCAAAACTTTTGCTGAACATAGGTCTGTGCAAAACTGCATGCCTTGTAGAAAAATAAATTGAGAGATTGAATAATAAAACCCAATGTACCGGTACTAAGATTTGTTGAGGAAGCCACAGAGTAAAACAAATTTTTTATAGGAACATTCTTTCAATTATTCGGAAAACTTGTAAATGCTGGGTATGAGTAAGTTGTGAAAACTGTGGGGGTTGAGCAACAAATGTTCTCACATGCAGGTTACTCATATACCCACAGATTGACAGCTTGGCTTTGACACCAAGATCTTGGGTATCAGGCACAAGCGTTGATCCACCACGATTTAAAGGGAAGTAACTCATGCACGACGTGGTGGTATGGTACACCATAGATGATTGAGGAGAAAACTGTTGTCAATCATAGTACATATGTTAAGAGGCTGCCGCTATAAGGGGAACAGTCTGAATTGAATGTTTCCTTTCTGAACCTCTCCTGCTCCATACAATCTAGCTAACAAACCATATGTTTGGAGGGAGAAGAATATTACATGTAGCTTGTATACTTCAACACAGAGTTAATGTCCTTCTGGCTCCAAATGTACAAAATCATCTGCAGAGAGCCAGAAGGGCATTATAAATCTATTAGAAGTATGACATGCCCTATTGGCTCTCAGAAGGTGGGTATTTTACATTAGATGATGCAAGGATGAGTGGATAGAGCAGTGGTCATAGAACTAGGAGATCCTAGATTCGAAATCAGGTTGGTATGTTTACGCTATCATCATTCAGCAAGCTAGGTATTCATAATCAATACCAAATCCTACGTCACTAGGTGTCGGTACCTTGGCTGTTTCCCTTAAGGCGTACAATGTGCTAATTGAGAGCCAGAAGCTGGCCTAGTCACAAAAGTTTACAGAGTTAAGGCCTAACCGACTCTTATCATATAAGACATATTTTCATAGTAAATGGGTAAACAAACAAAAAATACACTTTTCATTAATTTCAAGATAAATGGATATATTTCTACTGACTGACATAAATACTCTCTCTGGAAATGACAATTATAAGAGCTACCACATAGAATGACATATGTCCAAGAGATGAGCTGAATGTGACAGGAAGAGATAAATGAAGAGAAAGAAGGGGATTAAAGAGATCATAATAGGAAGTACATGTACATGTGTCAGACAAGCTGAACTTTATGGACACAACTAATTAAACCACAGGCTTGGTATAACTTTGGTCAAGCTTAAAGGAGACCAGTTTTGGAAATGCACCCCTCTCAAAAAAGAAAATTGGAAGCTCTTATTACCAATCATGTGAAAGAATATGTTTTCACTAATATATGTGATGATACACATTTTCCTGGGAAATCACGTACTAATTGACATATTTGGTAAATTATTATATCTATCCAGTCTGGATAGATATAATAACTTATCGCGTAGTCCCATATACATCTTTCTGTGTACAGTGCTTGTAACTTTACCCAGAGTGGGCCGAATTTCTTATCATTTTGATGATTCTAGAACCTTGCAGTACACACCAATACTTATATGCTAGATGATCAACCTTTTCTGATCCGATTCTACAACGTTTCTTTCACAATGCAATCGCATGACCAGAACTGGTCTTTACCTTTAACAGATGAGGCCTACCATAGATTTCCACCGAAGTCACTTTGATAAAATTTGTTTAACGCCAAACTAAAGCAGGGTGCTCGTTGTTATCTTTAAACAATATATGCTACTGGCATTTTCCCTATAAAAAGAAATGACAAACAATTATTCTTTGCTGGTACAAATATACAATTATATACTTACACATATTTGTCTCACAAGTCCCAGAAAGCTACAGATACATCCAAAAGCCAGCATAACATGCATTCCACCCACATCCTCTGAAAGCACTACTTCAAATGTGGTCAGAAACTTTCGTGATATCCTAATCCATGACTTGGCACAAACTCAGTCGGCATACACACTAACCATCAATCTCCTCCCCCACAGATAAAGCAATAATTGGATATTCCAATTTTAGAACATGGCACAGCTAGAGTTTTCAAAATCAGAAACTGTTTGTTGGGCTTCAAATCATAATCAGACAAGCAAAGCAGTTCTTAGTAAATCCACTTGAATCTGTCACTAATCTGATGTTGTCACTATCACTATAACCTCCAAGTTCAAAATAAAAGTTCATCACACAGGTTTCATACTGCAAACACGTTACGTTGCATTTTATAAAATTGTAATTGTAGGATTCAAAAACACAATTTATAAAAACTGAACAAAGTGCCTCACATGAACCTTTTAGCTACCTCAAACACCTGTCATCCAAAAACGTTCTGCGGTTTCAGAGAATGTTGATGTTCGGTAGGAACATAGTTAACCATGCTGCTTCATGCATGTGTTCTCCCTTGCAACACAAAAGCAGCAAAACTTCACGGTATTAAACATCACAGAAAAAATGATACCACCTAAATGTGTATTTCTGAATACATTTGCTGATAACCCTATACAGTGATCTGCTAAACTACAACTTCAGAAGACTACTCTACTATCACATTAACTACCACCAGGATTCTCAGGTTCTGTGAATTTTACATTGCAATGCTTTAATCCTGTACCAGGATCGACAACCTGACTTCTTACAGATTGTCTTGAAGCTTCTACATTTTACAGTCTTCATTACCTTCAAAAACAAATAAATGGTTTCCTGAAATTACTCCCGTCCTTGGTAACAGAGCTAGAGACTAGAGAAACGTCATAATGTGACCATAAACTTGTGATTCATTTGTTTGATTGATCGTCAGAACACTGTGTTGCCAAGTTGCATTGAAGAGGAGTGTATATTGCTCTTCAGGATGATTCAATATAAAGAACTGTGACATCACATATTTTGGGGTGGATGGGGAAAGGTTTTTGAAAGATAAATCTGAGGTTTCAGCACTATATAGTCACTAAAAAAGGAGCTTATAAAATTCAAGAAGAGGGGAATCGTTTTTTCTACCATTTTGAATAGTGTTTCAAATTTTTTGCAAATTGTCTTAAGTAACTAATTGATAGCCTTTCATAACTGGATAACCAACAACAACAAAAATGCATGTAAATCTTTAAATGCTATTCTCATGCCTGTTTCTTAGAATTCTACTGCAACGTCAAAGCTTACTTTCATTTCTCGTTGCTAAGGCCTACAAAAGGTGAGCCTATATACCTTGAGCTACACCGCAACCCCGTCATTTCTTGACGCAGTCTGGAACATCAAATATGTTTTATTGACGTTTTTTTCACGGCAAAAAAAACACGTACTTGTAGCCAAGGATCTAAAGCGATCATATCAATCGACCAAGTTCCTTCCCTCCTAGCCATCTCACCTTGAACCCGGCCGCAAATTGTGGCAGTTCTTCAAAAGATTTCGTTATTGTGATAAGATTTTCACATTCAGGGGGGCAGGTGTTTTTCCTGGAGATAACAAAAAATGTTGGTCAAGTCGTCGTCACGTCTTTGCGCGACGGAATCAGAAGAAAGCCTGCGTCTGTATAAGAGATAAATTCTCTGCCAAGAATTGAATTGTGGGGTCTAAAAATATCTCGCTCGCAACCTTGGTAGGTTGCTAGCTATAATGACTGGGTCATTACCTTTGGGGATCAGTCCAAGTATATTGGTTGCTTTTGAATCAGGTAATGCAATTCTTCAAAGCAAACTTGAGAATTGGCATTGATAAACATCCTCTGGTCTATCCAAAGCCAATTCTTATTTTTTCCCTGAAATTGAAAAGTTGTATTATGTATATATATATATATATATATATATATATATATATATATATATATATATATATATACAGTCATGAACATACATATTATTCTTCCTACAACAGAAGCTTGTATAACTGACAAACTTATTCCTTATACAAAAGGCATACAAAGAGCTAATCCGACACTGAAAATGTCATGTTTTGTCATATATCACCAAACATGGGTTTACCGGTACATTCTCTAAAATTTAAATTCAAATCTTGAAAAAAATTCATAGATTTATTATAAAATTACAATCATTATTGAAATCACAGTTTAATTGAAATTAATATTATGATCCAAATTACAATTTGAAATTAGAATTATCCTTCTAAATGTTGATAATACAAAATTCAATGAAGCTTGCTTGCAGTTTTATTCTAGTTATCCTGAAATAATCAAAATTTTAATATTATTTTGTAAAGGCTTTTCTATCATATACAAGTATTATTTCAATGCCATTTCAGGTAACAGTTTTATGGCAATTTAGTGGGAAGTAGTAGATACCTATCACACATATCAACATGTAAATATTTGCCCTGTCCTTCGTCAGGAGAGTTCAAGCCTCTTTGTGAAGGAGACATTCTATAAATATTTTGGCCATAATTCACAGCTCTTAAGCCGCCATCCCGAGGGGACGACAGCCTCCTAATTAATCCCACGACCGACAGGATATGGGCGATTTGTGGGCTGACCAGAAAGCAGCAGAGCTAAAGCACGCAGCTAAGCGACGATGATGATGACCGCAACGGGCAAAAGTTATGAGTTATGATCTACTGATTCCACTCGAGGGAGAAACGGCAATTATCATTCCAATTTTCACTGTTTCAATTGACTATCGACTCATTTTCACAGCTAGGTCCGCTGATTGAAAATAGAAGAAATAATGTTGATTGATCGCCCAGTTAACAGCTTTTCTTCAGCTCTATTATCATGACTATTGAGCTTGATTTCTTTGAAATAGGTACAAAAGGAGTCGCTTGTGGATACTCGGCTTAGCTTACATACACAAACACAACCTTCCCTTTCATGAAATTAATTTCCAATGCATAGCTAATGCCAATTGGCTTGCTTTTTGTGATTTATTATGACACATAAATGACAGGGGTGAGTGGTGGTGACAATGCTATACTTTCATACTTTCACTATGGAAGCATAGAGAGTTGTTTCATGATGTGTATGCACTATAAAACAATGGAATATCTAATAATCAGTTTTCTACTTGAATGTATAAATACATCAAAACCTGATCACAAAGACTTCAAAGAAATAAGCTCACAGGCAATTTCAATACTCAATTGCACTGCCTATAGAAATCATGTTCAGATTATGTAACATGTCATCGTAATGTTCGCACATTTCAATACATGACACACTAGATTACTGAAATTGGCTTGGGTTTATTTTTGAAAGTCTTTGTGACCGTGTTCAAAGTGTGTTTTTAGTTTGCTTGGATGCTTGTTTTGATTCGTGTGGGACATGCCTCAGGCCCCCAATTAAAGCAAGGGTAATAATTTCCAAAGCTCTTTGGAAGCGCATAGAGATGTTATTTCATAACGTATTATGCGCTATACAAGAACTGAACTATTACTATTATTAATTATTCTTACACAGGAATATGAACATTAATAATAATACAACAATTGGAAATCATGTAAATAAGGAGTTGATCGAAAGTAGAATTTGCCCTAGAGCTAACCTCAGATGCAACCATTAAGTTGAAAATACAGTACTGATGGATTCACGACTCCCAACACAGTCATTCTTCAACAGGTGTCTGTCTAATTTGCGCTTTGCCCCCCTTAAATAATTGGCCTCTCTGTGCAGGTGGGTGATATCTAGAGTTGTAAATAGCTATTAGCCAAGGTGTGTATCACAAGACCTGGTTAACATGACAAGGAAATGGGGGAAATTTACGACATGCTCAGACGGGGACCGTCTTAGTTTTAAAATAGAGTTCTTTCGCAAACATGATGGAAGCAAAGACGACGGGAAATTACAGCGATATAGCTCTTCTGTCGTGTTTAGGGAACGAACGCTATCGTAGCCGCGTACGGTCGTGAAAATCAATAAGACAGAGAAAATTCTGGTTCGCGCATGCGCAGATTCTTTTTTCGCTCGCGTTTCCGTTGTCTTTGCGAAAGCGCCCTAATGAAAGTTTGCAAAACCTCAAAGTTATACACCATAATCCACTAGCAACTACAATGGGTCACAATTGACTGAAACAATGATCATTTAAAGTTTAAACTGCAGTCTTGCAAGCATTTTAACAAGCTGGCATATAACCTCAAATTAATTGCTTCCACACATATGCCTTGGAGTGAGGACGTCGACCCCATGAAGATGGAATCCGAAGAACAAATGAACCAGGTGCAAAAGTATGTTGCTAGGTCAAATTATTCATCGGAAAGTATAATGTCTGCTTAATTAACACCAAGTTAAGTTGTCATCACTAATGATACGTAACCAATTAAAGAAATTAATCCTCACTTCTGAGAACATTTAAGTCCATAGGATGATTTGCACAATGTCTGCTTAATTAATTAACTCCAGGTAAATTTGTCATCACTAATGATACGTAACCAATTAAAGAAATTAATCTTCATGCTGTGTCTGCACTTCTGAGAAGCATTTAAGTCCAAAATATAATTTATGCTGTTTCTCATACGAGAGAAACACCATAAGTTAACATATTGTAAGGTAAGTATAAACATAATCAAAAGATCAAATACTCGGTAAAGTCACCATAAGTAAACTTGTCTTTAAGAAATGTGGTTTTTTTAAACCTTTTTTTCTTAGCGCTATTATACAAGTTAGAAAATACGTAGTATACCAGAGAAAGAGATTCGTTACAATATTTCATTTATTTGACTCACATATGAATGAAATGCTCAGAAATATTTTACAGCAAGATACAAAATAATAACGTTTTGTTTGTATATATCAAAAAATATACAGGTACGTTACATTGATTTTTTTATTTTTAATTAGGTGACGACTTGTTTTGTTTCCTTCAATGGTATTTATCAACCTGTTTCTATACAGTCACAATGCCATAATCACTTGGCCTAAGAAAAGAAGCTCAAAGCCATTGAGATAGGAAGGGCACTGAACCTGTCAAGGGGTTAAAACTAAAGATATGAATTTCATTAATTCTTCTCTCATAGCCTTGGCCTTATCAAAGCTTTTCACTTTCAGTCAAGGGCATGGACCAATTTTGCCGAATTTATCTAAGGAGGATTAGATGAGAAATATGTTTTCCCTAAAATACTTCTACAAACACCTACAATGTACCAAAATATTCACTGGCTTAAATCATATTAGGGATTAGAATGTGTGTATCATCACACAGAAAATGTTTGATTTTCTTCACAAGTCTTTGATGCTTGATCATTGAAATCTCTGCATTCTATAAATAAATTCTTGAAATAAACAGACAAATAGCCGTTATGAGAGATTGGATAATTCCAGATACAATTGTTAATATATTGTTATACTTTTGGAATCACTTCTTACGTTCTTTGGTTACAAGAACTGCCATGCATTTGCAATATGTTGTTAGGAGTTAAGACTCTCCTTTAATGACTAATCCATATTACATTA